GGGGGGGGGGGGGAGGGGGCGCGGCCGGTTCATGTAGACACGCGTGCGCGAGCACGTGCTCGAGCATCATGCCACAACACTCTCAACCGTCGAGATGAGCACATCGGAAGCTGCCGCGTTATACATGTACATGTCGCTTGTTACTCCGTCTCGAAATCAACTGTTTACTCATCGTTGCTAAGAGGTAAGCCATTTCTTTTACACACAGAGCCTGTCCTATTGCTTCTCGTGAGCTCATTCATTTATACATTTTAATTAATTACGGAATAAATATTGAGAAAATTTTAAAATGGTATATAACTTTTATGATTATTTTGACCCGTTCTACCCGTACAGGCGGTTGCTCGATCAGTTACCGGATACCCTGTATTTGATACTATTATTTGTACTATTTGTATTATTTGTACTACTTGTACTATTTGTACTACTTGTACTATTTGTACTATTTGTACTATTTGTACTATTTGTACTACTTGTACTATTTGATTAATACACTTCATAACTTGTTATGTCGTATTATATACAACATACTATCTCTTCGAAGATATTTTTTTATGAATACGCGCTTGTTGTCGACAAAACGACAAATTAAATTTCGACAAATTAAAGACAACAAATTAAATTATTAAACCGAGACTCGAATCGAAATGTTTCAAATTTCCGCTAAATTATTAAGGCGAGATTCGGACCCGAATGTTTTGAGATTCCGTAAAACCATTAAGCCGAGATTCGAACCGATGTGTTTTCAGGATCCACAAAATTATTCAGCCGAGATTTAACCGAAGTGTTTCGTGTTTCCGCAAAATTATTAAGCCGAATTAGTTAAGCCTGAGATAATTTTTTAAAGTTTCTTAAAGAAATTTTCGCGTTTGTAAAGGTATTTTCGAAAATGATGTGAAGGGTGCGTATTTCACTTTGCATCGTCTCTTGGATGACAGTGTGCATTAATGTTACTCTACTCCCTCAGTAACACGCCCAGAATCTTGAAAATAATTTCCCAATATCCCAAAGTCGCGCCAATAACGCTAGATCCATCGTAGCGATGAATTCGACTTCTCACGCATGCGCAGTGGTCCTATCCTGCGCATGGATCGAAAGTCGGTCATGTTACTGCAAGTTAGGTCATGTAGCGTGTAGTGTGTTAACGTGTAGTGCATATTCTGAGGTAGTTTTTTTTTTAGTATTTTAAAGTAACATTCGCGCTTGAAAAGGTTTATTTTCGAAAATTACGTCAGGTGTGCTTATTTCGTTCTGCATCGTCTCCTGACAATGTGACAATGTGTGTTTGTGTCACTCCACTCTCTCAGCAGCACATGCAGAATCTGGAATATAATTTCCTAATATTCCAAAGTCACTTTGGGATGCTAATACTATATGAATTAAATAATCTGCAGTAACATGACCAACTTTCGGCCAATGCGAGAATCTGACATTCCTACAACGCTAAACTTGGGGAAAAATTCTAAAAGGACTATGTGTCACGATTTTCAATATATCCACTGTTGCTCTCAAGCTAAATACTAAAAAAAAAGCACACGAGCAACACGCCTCATCTAGTCTCGGTCTCCCCTGCTTGGCACTTTACGACAGATCGTGTGTCACACCGGCGTATCGTTTAAAACGCCGACTCCACGGATATTTTCGGGACGTATGTTTTGGAAATAGAGACACGGAGTGACCGCACGAACGATCGGATCCGGTCGACCCCAATTCATCAAATGATGGCAATTAGTCAGTAGCGCGATTAATCGACTCTCGGTTAATCGGTAGCCAACTATCCATTTATATGATCAATCATGTCGTCCGTCATTAACCCTTGTACTGCC